GGTCGTTAAGGAGTGTTGCTAGACGCCACCCTTGATTAGTATATTGATGTGGTCAATTTACTACCGGCTTAGTATTGAACCTATGGGGTTGCACACTAACGAGGGTTCTGATCTTTGCTAAAGGATTAATTAACTTATTATTTGATAATTAAATTAAGGAATTTAATTAGTCAAATACATTTAGTTGTTAGTCCAGATGAAATATTATTATATTCTTTGCTAGCACAGAGGATATAATTAATATTGTGAATAAATTGATGTTTTCTATTTTGAATAGAAAATTAAATTATATCTCTTGATTGAAATATATGTATGATATATATAACAAATATTTATATATAATATTAATGAAAAATTTAATTTGATCAATCCAAATCTTAATTGGATTGACGTGAAAGTTGACTTCAAACCCATAAGAAATGGGATTGGTAATTATACCAAAAGTCCAATTTGGAATTGGACGCTAGCAGCATTCACGTGAAAGTCCATAAGGACGTGGCGGTATCTTCCCATTGAGATGAGATTCTAATTTTTCAATAAGTTTATTTTGGAATAAACTTTTACCCTAAGTAAATCATTACCTCAACCAAATAGGAAAAGAGTTTATAGGTGATGCTATATAAAGGGTGATGGAACAAAATTTGCATTATGAATTCTTGAGAAGAAAAATCACTTTGTGAAAGTGAGAGTGCAACACAAGCCAAGAGAGAAAATACAATTACAAGAAAAGTGTTTCTTGTTCTTCTAACATTGAGTTGAGATTTTTGAGAAAAATTTCAACACAATATTTCATTCAGTTTGTTCACGGGTTTCGTTGATCAAAGAGTTGATAGCAAGGATCGATCTCGGTGTAGATACGCATAGAGTCTTCGCACTATCGAAGAATTTTGAAACGAAACTCTCTTCACCAGGTACGTCTTAGATCCGATCATTGACATGTAAATAAATTTTAAACACAAAAAGATTTGTCTAGAATTGTTATTGTCTTCCGCTGCGTGTTATGAACACCTATATACAATCCTTCAGTGATATCAGAGCAGCAAATAAAAAACCCTATCATAGTGGAAACCTTATGGCATGGAATAGATTATCCTAACGATTCCCTAGTCATATTGGGCATCCAAAATAAAAAAAAAATCAAGACAAAAAGAAATAAAAGAATCTAATCTTGAGTCTTTTCGCTGATCGTAAGGCACAGTACAAGAACAGTGGCTTTTCATAATATGATTGCAAAGGCCAAGTATCAAAAGCTCCGTTTGAGCTCTTACAACTATATTTTGATAATCACTGCCTTTTCTACGAATTCGAACATTATTACCCTCATAAGAAATATCCGCTTGCTCTCTGGAAATGTTTGTCTGATAACAAGACAATTGTGGTTGGTTTAGGAATTGAGGATGTGGTCAAGAAGCTCGAGAAGGATTATAATATAAAGATTAGCAATTGGGTTGATTTGAGGGATAAGGCTAGGGAAAAGGCTACTTTTGGTGAAATTACTAAGAATTGTAGTGTGGAGAAATTGGCTAAGAAGGTTTTGGGTGATGAATGGGATGTGAAGAAGCCTGCTACCATGGAATGGTGGAATCCAGAAGTTGAATGGTTTCTTTCAGATGATAAGGTTAAATTTGGATCATTGGATTCTTTTCTTGCTTATAGAATCGGCGTTGAATTGTTAAAAGATTAATTACTACGTAGTTCTGTTTTTTTATTGTGAATTTTTCGGTTTTCTTTCTGTTTTAGTTTATTAATTTCCTAGATCAATTTCTTGTCTAGAGAATTCTAGAATAGCTAGGGTTTATAACGAGAAGGTTAATATATCATTCTTTGCATTGTAGTTGATGAATTTCTTGTCCTGAGTTGTTAAAAAATTACTCCGTCTCAAATTATGTCATATTTTTCTTCAACACGGTCCTTAAAAAACATTAATTAGAAGGATTTTTTTTGACTATTTTATGTTTATTTATGTATTAAGATATAATCTACTTTCATTGAATATTTATTTTATTTATGTGATATTTTCATCTTCAAGAACAATTACCACTAAAGATAAATAAGAAAAATAATATTAATTTTGTCCTAAACTTCTAAAATGATAAATAATTTGAAATAATTATTTTTAAAAATCACGATATATAAAATGAGACGAAAGAGTAATTGTTAGTGATGTTTTGTTATTGCTAAGTAATGTTTTGTTTCTCTTTCTGTTTTAGTTTGATTTCCTAGATGTTATAGTACCAAGAATTTTCCATTAGGGTTTCGGTCAACGAATCTTTTCTTTTTATTTTTTCCTGCATTTGCATACATGTGTTATTAATTACTTATACGTAGCTTTATTTTGTTCAAAAGAAAACTTCTATGCTACGGTGCCTAAGCAAACTGTCTTTAATTTAGATCTGGATTCGTGGAACTTTATTTGTAACCGTTCTTTGTCTGGAATTACGATATCGCTGATAAATATTCCATTCCTAGTGGGATGAGATGGTATATTTTTGAGAGAAATGTATATTTTAGTTGCTTCTAAAAATAATAATTGACAAAATATATATCTTTTTGTATATATATTTGATACAGATTTTGTATACTTTTTGACTAGCGAATGTAATTAAATTCGGCCGATCAGCTAATATTTTATTTTGTCCCCGTTTTATCATGCCATACATAACAATATGCATATATATAGTACCCCAGGTGGCCTATTCATCATAAGTGTAAGAAATAAACATATAAAAATATAACGCGTGGCTCAAGGGCCTGGCCATTAATATAAGTCCCTTGGGAGACAATCATCCAACGTAAATCCCAGAATATATCTAATCATGTTCATAGTGTTCATGGAGCGATTAGATTACATCAAAATATGAGGCACAAATCGTACACAAAAGAAAGGCAAAATAAAGCATTTGGTAGCCTTAGCTTAAGTATGGAGACTAATCACTGCGTCCCGAACCAAGAAGATCAGTCTCGGAGTTCGTCAGCCAACAACAAAATCTCTAAATTCAATGTTACGTTAATGAGCCAGCCGACCCATTATAATTTATCACTTTTGTAAAGTGGGATTAGACTTAAAGTAGATCTGTACATAGTGAATACTGAATAGTATAATGCTTGCAAAATGTAATACAATAAATCATAATAATACCACCTTAGGGGCCCCTATTATGTATGTATGTAATTTAATTTCTTAACATTAGGAAATTATATCGGGGAGGTATCCACTCTGACATACAACAACAACAACAACCCAGTATAATCCCACTAGTGAGATCTGGGGAGGGTAGTGTGTATGCAGACCTTACCCCTACCCTGGGGTAGAGAGGCTGTTTTCAAATAGACTTTCGGCATCCTTCCCTCCAAAAGCTCCCCATCTTACTCTTGGGGTGACTCGAACTCACAACCTCTTAATTGGAAGTGGAGGTTGCTTACCATCGGGTATCCACTCTCACATCTCATGTATATTTACATGGAGGCCGAATATCAACTCCTCAATTAAGTGAGCCAACCGTCCACTTGAAAAGATAAGTGCCACCACATGTGTGATATGACAGAGTGAACCACTAGTAAGCCAAAGTCACGCCGCACTTGGCATACGTAAGTAAATGATTAGACATTGATCAACGATTCTAGAATGACCGTTAAGGGCATTAACTTTGATCAACAACAATAACAACAAATCTATATATATATATATATAAATGGGAATAGAGAAGGTGTCTCTCTTTGACCAAGGATTCTATTTATCTTTTTTCTCCTTTTTTTTGCCTTTTCCTCTTATTTTTATTTAAGTAAATTAGCTCAATGATAGATTGAGCCTTTTTGATTGCCCACTTTTATTGTACTCTTTAAACCATTCAGTTTAAAAACTCCAAAAGTCAACTTCTGAAACCTTACTCCACCGTTTCAATACTTCCTTCTTCCCCTATAATTGCTTATTAATTGATATACTTACATATGATATTTTGTGCTTATTTGGCTTATATATTCAGCCCCACTACCTGTGAAAAAAATAAAGTTAATTTTTTGGAATAATATAGAATTCTCTAGAATGTCCTAGTTTAGTATACTTAATATTTATCTAGTGGACATATCTAGATGTTCTAGAATGTTGTAGGAAGATAAGACATATCTAGATATTCTAGAGTGTTGTTAGAAGATAAGGTTGCTAGAATTTTCTTTGTACATTATCTAGAATCATCCATAGGCTAGTATAAATAGGGGGTATCTTGTTCATTTATAAGTAAGCCAAAACCAAGAAAGCCTTCTTTCCTAAATAAGTTCTCCTATCTAAAATCTCTCTTCTTTTTTCAAGCTTCCTCTTTTTTAGTTGAATCCTCCAATCTTGGTTAACGATCTTGGGCTAGCAGAAGGTCTCCGAATAATACTCTTCTTCTGCTATTCTTTACATTACCAGCCAACAAATTCAAATTTAAGAATGGAGGTTAGTATAACAAACACTTCTATGAGTTCTTTGGAAAGGTATAGATTTTTGGTGCTTTGGAATAAAATAAAGTTGTACAATTATGTGCTTTTTGTTATCGGGGATGCCTTTTTATCTTTTGCTCTATTTTAAGAATTTTTTAGGTTTTGCTTTAAATACTTAGGTTCTAGATATATAATTGTTATTACGAGCAGTTGCACAATGAAGAGATAAGTTGTGACGATTTTGAGATGTAAAGACTGCATCAAGGTAGTGCTTATACATTGAGTTAATACTCTCTATAATTAATTAATCTTTTTCTTTTTCTCCTTTTTTGCAATAGCATCGTACGCGGTAATATAATTTTATATGATATGTCTACAGAATCGTGAGAACATATTTTTCAATTTGAATAACACCTTGATGTAGCTATCGTGGAAAAGTGGATATACTCTAAGAAAATTATTATCGTTTCATCTTTTCTTGCATTTGAATTTTAGAGTACTCTATTTCAAGGAAAAAATTTATTATCTTCATTTTGTTTTCTATATACGTCTATTACTCAAGGTAATTTTCTTATTGTGATTCATCTAAAATATTGATATATATAACCCTAACTTGTGTTGAAGCTGAGATTTTTATTGCAGGTCAAACAAGTGATGCAAAGTTTTATCCTCATAAAAATGCAAGAGTAAATATAAAATTTATAACTACTATTATTATTATATTATAATAAATAAAATATATTATTTATAAATAGCATTTAGCCGTAATGAAATTGAAGAGAATTTAATGTGACACTCCAGAAGTCTCTAAATACTTTTTCTCATGATCTTCTCTTCTCCAATGTTTTCACATATGAATTTGATTGAAATTTCAAAAATATATAATCAATATATATATATATATATATATATATATATATATACTAATTTCAAAAAATATTATTTATAAAATTATCTGAGTACAACCGCGCGAAGCGCGGAGAATTTCACTAGTCTATTATAATCCCCCAAACTGGGAAAGAACGTCTGAGAATATTAACTTTGATTCGTTGTAGAAAACGGTTTGAAGAAGTTAGAATCTTTTATATCTTGAATAATGCTCTTGTAATGGCATTTACCCTTAAAACAGATAACAATTAAATTTATATGCGGTTTTAAAGATATGTGAATAGATTTAACACAAATAATCAAGAATATTAGATGAATGCGTTAAAGGCAAAGTGAATAATCAAACCAATCGCAATGTTACGGTCCGGCTCGAGATTAGGTTGAACAGTAGTTTTGGGTCTCCGTACGAAAGGGGAGCGTTACTTTATCACGTCCGACGATGAGCCCATTGTTCGTCGTTCATGGGTCTCGTACGAAAGGCTCCCAGCCTCAATTTTCAACCTCGTGTGTTTGTGCCCTACTTCCATCTTCATCAGAAAATCGGGGCATGCATTGCCCCTGATTTTACCCGTATACAAATAGTCCCCTCGTTTTTCGGAGAGTGCTCACCGGATCGATGGGAGATGAATAAACGAGCCCTGGTTTCTTCCCTCATAAATTGTAACTGAGATGCCGCGTAAGTCGAAACGTCCCATCAGTCGCGTCGTTCTGACTCCAAACACGTGTTGGTCATCGACTAGTTGTCTTCGAATGTGAAACGCCGCGCATTGATTGCCTTTTCCCTATAAAAGCTTCAACCCTTTATACTTCTTTCACTTTCTGATCCTAGCTTTTACCTTCGAATTTTCTTGCAGCTTTTAACCTTTTCAGATCTTTTTATCTTCATCTTTGATCCTCAAACCTTCATATTTGTTCTTAGATTTTGAACCCAAATATTCATATCTTCATCCCACCTTCAGACCTTCATACTCTTTCTTCAGATCTTTATATTTTTCCTTCGAATCTTCATGCTTTCCTTCAAGTCTCCATACTTCCCTTCAAATCCTTATATTTTCCCAGATCACGATGGCTAAGACTTTCAAGTCTGTGCCTCAGCAGGCTACCCCTTCATCTTCCCACCCCGCCATATATGCCGAGTTGGCTGCTCCCGAGGTATCTCCAGAGCCCCCATGAAGGGCTTCATACCCGGGGGCTGCTCTATCGGGGATGACTTCAAGGTCGAGAAGGCCTCCAGCCAACAAGACCGAGGCGAGGGAGCATCGAGATACATATTCTCTATCACAGAAGAAACCTTACCTGTAGTCCGAGCAGACTGTAAGTGGGAGGGTAAGGATGTGGTCCTCCCTGGGGGAAATGACGATATAACAATACACGCGA